GCGGGTGGGAAAGCAGATTGTTCCCCCCCTATCCCCCCCCCCAAAAAAACAGGCCTCCTCCTCCTCCTCCTCCTCCTCCTCCTCCTCCTCCTCCTCCTCCTCCTCCTCATCTCCCTCCTCCTCCTCCTCCTCCTCCTCCTCCTCCTCTCCTCCTCCTCCTCCTCCTACTCCCCCTCCTCCTCCTCCTCCTCCTCCTCCTCCTCCTCCTCCTCCCCTCCCCCAAACAAAAACAGGACTCCTCGCGGCCACGCGAGGTTCATATGTATCACCTGGCGCGCCGCCCTCTGATCACAAGGAGAGTTGCCGTGCCCACTCTGCGCGGAAAAGCTGGGTGCTGGATGTAAGCTGCTGGCCGTGAGCCCGCGTGGGAGATCACATACAGATTGCAGTTGCAATTGAGATGGGAAGCTGCCGACTTGTGCATTGGGAAGCTGTCTCCTCCTCCTCCTCCTCCTCCTCCTCCTCCCTCCTCCTCCTCCTCCTCCTCCTCTCCTCCTCCTCCTCCTCCTCCTCCCTCCTCCCTCCTCCCTCCTCCCTCCTCCCTCCCCTCCTCCTCCTCCTCCTCTCCTCCTCCTCCTCCTCCTCCTCCTCCTCCGCCTCCTCCTCCTCCTCCTCCTCCTCCTCCTCCTCCTCCTCCTCCTCCTCCTCCTCCTCCTCGGTGGGCAAGCGTGGAGGGCCGCGAAGAGAAGGGGCGGGGCCAGCCCGGGGCCGTCGAGGATCCGGCGGAGGTCGGGCGCGCGCCGGTGCCTCGGGGGCACCCGAGCGCTTAGGGAGCATTGAGCTCCTCTGGGGGGCTGCTGCGCCGGATCCGGCCCCGTAGATTCAGCGGGATGTACTTGGATGACCGTGGGGGTTATTAAATGGATAGGGGGGTTATGCGTGGATGGCAAGGTGGGTTATATCTGGCCCAACCTGGCTTATAAGTGGGTTACAAGCGCCCCGAATGGCTTAGGGGGGTAGATAACTCCGCTAAGTGGGCGGAGCCCACTTCGCCTGGATCGTTACCCCCCCTAAGCTATTTAAGGCACTCGTAACCCACTTATAAGCCAGGTTGGGCCAGATATAACCCACCTTGCCATCCACGCATAACCCCCCTATCCATTTAATAACCCCCACGGTCATCCAAGTACATCCGCCGATCCGGCGTGTGAGTTTCCGAGAGCGTGAACTTGAGCTCGCTCAAGCTTCGCTCTGCAGGGGGGGGGGGGGGGCGTACACGTTATTTCCGACGTCATTTCATACGTTTTTCGGTACACGGGGATATTTCCGACGTCACTTCCGACGCTCTTCGGTACCCGGGGACAGGGGGGTATAGAAAACTCCACTTCCAGAGCCCCCCCGGGTCGGCGGCACTGGCCAGAGGCCAGCCCAATCGGATAAAGCGGGATTAAGCCGGAGTGGGCGGGATCACGCCCGATCAAGCGAGAGTTCGGACCGGGGCAGAGTCTGAGTGTGGCCTCCCAGGAGCCGCCTCCGAAGGCGGCTGCTTCCCATCGGAGAGGGCCGGTCAGGCTCGAGCGCCACGTGGTCTCCATCACGCGCGTGGAGTGTTCGGCCCCGAGCGATCGCGGCTCCTCGAAGAACCGCGCGGATCGCTCGACGTCGGCTTTCCGAGGAGGAGCGCCGCGGCGGCGGTGGCCACGAGCAGGTGCACCTCCTCCCCTTCCTCCTCCTCCTCCTCCTCCTCCTCCTCCTCCTCCTCCTCCTCCTCCTCCTCCTTCTCCTCCTCCTGCCCCTCCCCCCCCCTCCTCCTCCCTCCTCCCTCCTCCTCCTCCTCCTCCTCCCTCCTCCTCCCTGCCCATCCTCCCCCCTCCTCCTCCCTCCACGGCTCCGCTGGGGATGGCCGCGGGGGATGCCAAGGGGAAAGGCGGGCCCTGAGCGGATGCCGATCCGACGGCAACTCACGCGAGCCTCCCGTGCCATCTTGTCGGCCCTTGCGAATCGACGCCAATCGACGCTGGTCGACGCTAGATCGAAGCGCAATTCGACGCCGATTCGGCGCTGTCTCATCGGCTCCCAAGCGACGCGGAAGACGGAATTCAGAGGATAGTTACCCAACCCGAACGCCAAGGTGGTTATAGCTGGCCCAACCTGGCCTATCAATGGGTCACAGGGGCCCCAGGTGGCTTAGGCAGGCCACGGGTCCACGGCCGGAAGCTAACTGCTCAGCGCGCCGCGCGGCGGCGGCGGCGCCCCCGGCGAAACGACGTGACGTCGTCGGCGTCGGCTCCTCGCACGGCGCAGCCCGTCCAATCCTGAACGATCGCGCCTCTGCCGACCGCGCGGGTCGCTCGGCATCGGCCGCTTCCAGGCCGCTGGCGGCGTTCAACCCTGAGCGTCCGCGGCGGGCGTAGCCGCCGCTGTCTGCGCGGCCTGCCGAGGCGAGGGTTATGACGAGCAGGCCCGCAATAGGACAGGACGAGGACAAAAAAACGAGCTGGGGCACGCCAGGGACCTCTGAGGAGTCGGCGGGCCTCGAGGACAGCTCGACAGAAACACTGTATGTCGTTATCGCTGCGTTTTTTATTTCCATCGATTTGTCTTATTTCCGACTTTGCAAAACGCAATCCAAACGAAAACGGCCCACGGAATCGCCACAACACCGTTTCGGTCGAGCCTTGCTGGAGGTTGCATCGGGCGCCCAGGAACGCTCAGCGCTCCGCATCGCCCTCTCGGGAGTGTCCAAGAGGGGGGCGTCCAAGAAAGGGGGGCGCGAATCATGGCCGGCGGCATGTCCGCGGCCCAGGCGGCGGCCGGGACACGTATTCGATAAGAAGAGGCGCCATGACCTATTCTTACGCGAGATGGCAGAGCGACCTTACGCGGTAGCTTACGCGGGCCGCCAGCGCGACACGTTACACTGGAAACGAGGGCGCTTACGCGCGACCGTGCACGGGCAACTTACGCACCAATGTCGGCGCAATCGACCCCTTGGATTGCGTCGCCCAGGCGGGGATGCAAAGGAAAGTGGTGCCTGCGGCACCGAGGCGTCTGACCGGCAATCGGCTGGTGCGCCGCCCGCGGACGATCGGGCAAGCAGCTGGCTCGTGCCAAAAGGGGGCAGCGGCTTGTAATCGGGGCCCACCGCGTGTTGTGCTGGAATGCTGCCGCTTCACGCGAGAGCCGTGGCACGGACTTACTGCCAAGATGTGAGTGCAAGCTGATCTGCGCACGGCCAGGGGTAGGTTACGCCGAGTGGTGGGGTGGACGGCACTCAAGGAAGTACCGCAGTGTGGGCATTTCCACGCCAAGATCTGGCGCAGGTAGAATGGATCCGCCCATCACTCTTGCCAGCTACGGTCTGGCGTGCAAGCTTGCTGTATAGTCAACAGAATCGAAACTATAAAATGCTTCATCCTGATCCTGCTGCTCCTCCTCCTCATCCTCCTCCTCATCATCATACTCCTCCTCATCCTGGTCCTCCTCTTTCTTCTTTTGGGCTGTACCAGCGTAGGCTAGCGTGAGCCGTCGCTTCTTATCAAAGCATAATTCCCCACATCCAAAGTGGGGTTCTTGTTTTCTCTGGACACCCCGCGCAGGAACAGGAACCCACCATCATCATCATCATCATCATCACTCATTCCTCACTCACTCACTCACTCATCATCCCTCACACACTCACTCACTCACTCACTCACTCACCCACCCACTCACTCACTCACTCACTCACTCACTCACTGACTCATCAGCACTCACATATGATGATGACGAGTGTGCGCGTGAGAGAGTGTGATGATCATCATCACCACCAGTCAGTCACTCACTCACTCACTCACTCACTCGCCTTGGGCCTCGTCTGTGAGTGAATTGCGAGGAAGTCTCAAGTGGGAGCCCCCTCCCTATGGGGCCCGCGGATCATGTTACTAATCCGAGCGGGCCATCCAATTCCTGTGACTGTCGCCACTTTTGGGCTCTCGCGCTGCCAGAACGCCATTCCCAGGCCACATCTGTGAATGAATTGCGAGGAAGTCTCAAGCGGGAGCCCCCTCCCTATGGGGCCCGCGGATCATGTTACTAATCCGAGCGGGCCATCCAATTCCTGTAACTGTCGCCACTTTTGGGCTCTCGCGCTGCCAGAACGCCATTCCCAGGCCACATCTGTGAGTGAATTGCGAGGAAATCTCAAGCGGGAGCCCCCTCCCTATGGGGCCCGCGGATCATGTTACTAATCCGAGCGGGCCATCCAATTCCTGTAACTGTCGCCACTTTTGGGCTCTCGCGCTGCCAGAACGCCATCCCCAGGCCACATTTTGAATGCCCGGAGCCAACTGTAGGCCACTTCGTGTTCTTCGTGCTCCCAGAACACCATTCCCAGGCCACATTTTGAATGCCCGGAGCCAGCTGAAAGCCACTTCGTGTTCTTCGTGTTCCCAGAACACCACTCCCGGGCCAGTTTCTGAGTGTCCGGAGCCAAAACAAGAGGGCGAGGTCGGGGGCAACGTAGGGAGCGGGGGGAGGACCCGCGCCAGGGCGAGAAGAAATATACGCAGAAGAAACAGCCAGGACGCCTCACCAACCACGAGGACGACGGTGAGGGCTTTTTCCAGACTCGCCCAGAGGATTCTCATGCGGGGTCCTTCCGTCGGAGTAATTTTTCAGAACGCACGAACAACATCAAACTCGAACCTTTCCCACTCTAGCGCTGACCACGCGGAACGAGAAGTGCAAGGAAAACCAGAAGAAGCCCTCAGGGCAAGAGTACTAGAACTGTGGTGACTGCAAGGGAGCGCACGGTGGTTCCTACACCACGGCCCACCTCCTCCTGCTCCTGCTCCTGCTCCTCCTCCTCCTCGGGCTCGGGCTCGGGCTGATGGCATCTCGGGCTGATGGCATGAAGGCCCGTCTCCTCCTCACCCGCCTCCTCCTCCTTCTCCGCCTCCGCCTCCTCCTCCTCCTCCTCCTCCTCCTCCTCCTCCTCCTCCTCCTCCTACTCCTCCTACTCCTCCTCCCGAGGAGGGGGTTGGTGGGAGGGACGGCCCCGCATGCCGCCCCCCTAGCTC